GAGCCAGGACTCCTGGGTTCTCTCCCCAGCTCTGGGAGGGGAGTGGGGTCTGGTGGTTAGAGCAGGGGAGGCTGGGAGCCAGGACTCCTGGGTTCTCTCCCCAGCTCTGGGAGGGGAGTGGGGTCTGGTGGTTAGAGCAGGGGAGGCTGGGAGCCAGGACTCCTGGGTTCTCTCCCCAGCTCTGGGAGGGGAGTGGGGTCTGGTGGTTAGAGCAGGGGGGGCTGGGAGCCAGGACACACTCATGCCCCCAGCAGCAAACTCCCCACACTTTGAGCTTCTACTAAAAATACTTTATTAATAATTATGACACTGTGTTTTCTGATAAGAACATACCACAGTATGAACTAGAGTTTGGTGGGGGTGGAGTGGGGGGGTCAAAGGCCCCCCCTACACCTCCATATATATGGGTGGGGGTCCCCCAGTATTGTGGGGGGCAGAGGGGACTCCTCCTAGCCCCTCTGCATAATGTCTGTATTGACAGGGAGGGGGGAGTTGGGACCGATCCCTCCCCTCAGAGTTCAGTGGGGCAGGGCCCCTTCAAGGGAGTGTGTGTGGGGGGGATCCCCTCCCCCCAACCAGGGCAGGAGTTGGGGGAAGGGAGATCCCCCAGGAGTTTGCAGTGAGGGCTGGGGAGGAGAGTCGGAGGTTGGAGCAGGAGGGGCAGAGGGTTTGGGGGGGGCAGATGGGGGAGCAGGAGGTTTCTTGGGGGGATGGTTGGGGCAGATGCAAGGGGGATTCATGTGGGGGGCAGAGATTATCTGAGGGGCAGATGGGGGGCAGGACCTGGGGGGTGACAGGGGCAGGGGATATCTGGGGGGGCAGGATCCAGGGTTCCCGGGGAGGGACAGGTGGGGGGCAGCGGTATCTGGGGGGCAGAGGGCAGGATGGGGGCACTCACAGCGGGTACTTGGTGCGGAGAAGCCCGAGCGCCTCATGGCTCCGCATGGCCCAGTCCCGATGCAGCCGGCACACATGGTACCCGCTCAGCTTAGCCAGGAAGGCGCTGGTGGGGGGGCCGCCCAGGCTGGAGGAAGGAGGCGGGGGGCCTGGCAGCCCCAAGGCGCCCATGATCCGCTCCAGGTTCCCGGCCAGCCCCAGGCACTGCCGGGCCGCAGCCTCCAGCTGCCGATGCAGCTCCGAAGCCAAAGGGTTGAGCTCGGCCTGCTGCCGCCGCACGGAACCCAGGAGTCCGGGCAGGGTGGCGTAGGCCGCGGTGAGGTGCCAGAGCCGCTTCCCGTCGCTGAGCGCCAGCCAGGCCTCGGGGGGGATAGAGGGCGAGGGCAGCCCGGGGACTGCCATGGCAGGGGGCTGGAAATCTGGACTGCTGAATGGCTCCCCTTGGTGACGCACCTGGAACGGAGAGACACTGAGTCAGGACTCCTGGGTTCTCTCCCCAGCTCTGGTAGGGGAGTGGGGTCTAGTGGTCAGAGCAGGGGAGCTGGGAGCCAGGACTCCTGGGTTCTATCCCCAGCTCTGGGAGGGGAGTGGGGTCTAGTGGTTAGAGCAGGGGGTGGCTGGAACCCACAGCTCCTGGGTTCTATCAGTGGCGCTGGGAAGGGAATGGGAGGAAGCTGTCTGAAGCATTTGTGCTGTAGGAGCAGCAGTGAAGTCCGTAACAAATTTAATATTTGAATTGCCACCATTAGGTTCAAGAGTTAACAGTGTGGGCCAGCTTCCTGCTCTCAGAGCCATCGTGTCAGGCTCTCCGCTCGGATGTCATGGTTTCACTCAGGGTCCCAAAGGGCGTCTGACCAGCGGGGGACAGAAGGACATGGTCTCCCCTGGGATCGAAGCCAGGGAATTGAAAAAAAACTTGTAGACAACTGTGTAACAGGGGACAGCGAGACACACACACACACAGAGGACTCTGACTCCTCCAGCAGGGGGCAGCACTACCCCCCTCCCCAATGCTCACATATTCTGCCAGCAGCTGTTCAGAGCAGTGCTTCAGCAGCACTGTCAGGCGGTGTGTTTGCTTGATCTTGGTGGCTACTTCTTGCTGGGAGAGGGACGAGGAAGAGGAGGCGGAAGAGAGCAGGTTGGCGCGATCCACTGGAGAGAGGAAGTGAACAAAGAGTTTATTCAACTCAGGCCCAGAGCCATGAGCTTTGGAGCGAGCTCCTGGGCTCAGAAGCCTCCTAGAGAGGAAATTCATCTTAGGAAATCCCCCCCTGGAAAAATACTGCTGAGATGCGGCCACCTCTGGGGTGGGGCAGCTGGGGAACAGCCGCACACAACGGTTCCTTCCATCTGCCTGCAGCACAGCGCCTCCTAGCGCCACACAGGGGCATTGGGGCCAGCACTGACTGTCCGGGGAGAACACCCCCTGCTGACCCATTCCCCTGCCAGGTGTCAGATGCACCCCACCCCCTATTGTACTCAGTGTTTTACCTCCCAGTCAAGCACCAGGGATCCCATTGTCCTGACCCAACGCACCAGAACGGAGCAGCCGCTCCCTTGGAAGGGAGGAAAAGTCACAACAGAACCCAGGAGTCCTGGCTCCCAGCCCCCCTTGCTCTAACCCACTAGACCCCACTCCCCTCCCAGAGCTGGGGAGAGAACCCAGGAGTCCTGGCTCCCAGCCCCCCCTGCTCTAACCCACCAGAGCCCCTCTGTCTAACCTCCCCTTTTCACTGATCTCTGATGCCAGGCAGTGCCCATGCCGCCCCCACTCTCAGGTAGCTGGTCACGTCCCAGCCGTCAGCCCCCCGCCAGGTTCCCAGCCCCCCGCCAGGTTCCCAGCCCGACCAGTAGCTACGGGGATGTCCCAGCGGCCCGAGAACCTTGCCAGCCCCAGCCCTGCAGGAGGGTGACGCGGACACTGTACTGGGCACCTGTCCAAGCCAGAGGAGGTGGCCAAGGCAGAGAAGAGGACCCCTCTGGAAGCGCCATAGCTTGGGACCCTTCTCCACCTTGGGTGATGCCAATCTCCTGGGGGGTGGCTGGGAGCCAGGACTCCTGGGTTCTATCTCGAGCTCTGG